GGTACTTCTCGAGGGCCACTCTCTGGGTGAGGGGTTGTGGGCAACACCGAGCAGGCCACGTGTCAGGTTCAAAGAGGAGAGAGCAGCAGTGGGGGGGGGGGGGTGGTCAGGAGCCACGGGGCCTGTTTTCCACCAGGTGGACAGTGCCAGTGTGGCAGGGTGGGGACCCTGCTAAGAGCCACGGGGAGCCACGGCCAGCACCTGAGGCCCGAGACACGCACCACGCAGGCCGCGGAGAAGCGCTACATTGCTCTGACGGTCAGATGACTGTGCAGTGACGGCCTCGCCGAGGGTCCCCTGGGTTCTGTGAGTAGTTAGGCTGGATGCCCGCGGGGGCCCAGAGCAGGGACCCCGGCTCTTGCACGGCCGCACTCACAGCAGCGTTATTTGCAGACGGGGGAGACAGCGCAAGCGTCTGGGGATGGATGAACCGATAAACAGCGGAGTGTCAGGCAGACGTGGAAAGGGAGGACATTCCTGCACCTGTGGTGACACGCAGGCTCTGCGAGAGAAGCCGGACGCAGGGGATGGGGCTGCACGAGGCCCGGAGGCCACTGAAATCCACAGTCCGAAGGTGGACGAGAGGCCACTGGGGCGCGGCAGGGGAAGTGAGAGGCCCGTGGGCGCCGTCCCTGTGGAGGGTGACGGACGCATTCCAGAGGTGGCTGGTGGTGGTGGGTACGCGCCAGCGGGGATGGGGCCCGGAGCAGACACCGAAACATGGTTTAAATGCCTGAAACTTGATGTTATGTAAATGTTACCACAACCAAGAGGATAATTAGGCTGGAGGAAGGGATAAGCCAGTGTGTAGGGTCACCCCAGCCTGGGTGGTCTCGAGCCTTCTTTCCGTGGGGGAGGTTGGTGGCCTGGCGGGCAGCAATGTCACCCTGGGCCTGAGAGCTGCCGGTGGGGGGCGAGGGGAGGAGGTTGACCCGGGGCCCATGCCCTGAGATAAAACTGGCATCCCCTTCTCGGAGGAGGGGAAGGAAAGTCGTGGCAGTTTGTCGTCTTTCCACATTGCCTTGTCCAAGAAGCAGGCACGAACAGTGAGCGAAGGCAGGTGGTGCTGTGTGACCATGAGTCAGTGACTTAACCTTTCTGAACCTGACTTTTCCACTTTTAAAAAATAGGGCTCCTTTGGGGCACCTGGCTGACCCTTTCCATCTCAGGGTTGTGAGTTCGAGCCCCATGCTGAGTGTAGCAATCACTTAAAGATAGGGTCTTTTTTTTAAATGGGGCTCAGGGCGCCTGGGTGGCATAGTCATTTGGACCTCTGACTCTTGGTTTCGGGTCTGGTCGTGATCTCAGGGTCAGGGAATCGAGCTGTGTTGGGCTCTGCGCCCAGAGTGGAGTCTCCCCCTCCTCTTCCCTCTGCTCCTCCCACTCATACGCGCTCTCTTTCTCTCTCTCGGCTAAATACATCTTTTAAAAAAGCAGGGCTTCCCCTGATTCTGTTTAGCTGATGAGGGTTCAGAGAGGGTCATCTGGGACATAAATGTGAAACTTCTTTCATGTGAAGAACATCCCTTTGCTGATAGTAGCATCTCACGAAGTTCGGGTATGAAACACAGATTCAGGTGCTGGGGCCACGAGAAAGAGGATGAGGCCCCGGCCCCAGGGAGAGGTTGCTGGGGCACGTGGGTCGGATGCAGGTCTGACCATCGTCGCGGCGGGGCTGTGGGCCAGGCTGGGGACGCAGAGCCCTCCTCCCCTTAGCCCGCACCAGGGGGACAACTCCCAAGACCCCAGTCATTCCACGAGTGTTGTTCGGATGTCCCCTCCCTGTACAGCTCTGGACGGATGGGGCGGGGGGGGGGGTTCACCCAGGCTGCCGTGCTCCCTGGGGCTCACGGTGTGTGTGTGGTGGGGGACACGGATGGTAGCACACGGCACAGCAGTGAATGGGAAGCTTTCGCATTGAGTAAATGCAATGATGGTCGTCACAGGTTGGCCTGGCTATTTCTGATGGTGTTTCAGGGAAAAAAGGGAAAAAAATCACTCTGCAGACTTCAGTTTCCCCATTTGTGAAAGAAGTAGATGGAACTAGAATTCTTTGCTATCCAGTGTCTATGCCATTTGCCCCAGGTCGCTTTTAAAATGTAAATTAATTGAAATTAAATAAAATGAAAAATTTGGTTCCTCAGCGGACCAGCTGCATTTCCAGTGCTGGGAAGTCACATGTGAAAACAGGTGGCAGTTCCTCAAAAAATTAAAAATACTAATGCCACGTGACCCCGCGATCCCGGAAGAACTGGAAGCAGGGTCTCCAGATCTCGCACACCTGTGTTCCCAGCGGTTAGTCACAAGAGCTAAAACACAGAAGCGCCCCGGGTGGCCCCAGGTGTTGATGGAGGGATGGATATGCAAAAGGGACTCTGAGCCTCAAAAGGACATTCTGACACTTGCTACAGTGTGCACAAGCCCTGAGGACGTGATGTTAGGTGAGATAAGCCAACCCCCAAAGGATAAACACCTTAAGATTCCTCTACATGGGGATCCCTGGGCCTGCAGATTAGAGGGTAGAATGGGGGGAGGGAGTGAGGAGTTGGTGTTTAATGGGGAGAGAGTTTCAGTTTTGCAAGACAGCATTCTGGAGACGGGTTGCACAACAGCGTGAATGTCCTTCATGCCATGGGACTGTGCACTTAATGTGGGTGATGGTGAATTTCATGTTACGTGTATTTTAGCACAGTTAACACCGGAGCCCCACGTGGCCGCCGTATCAGGTATCAGGCAGCGCGGGTCTTGGGTCCTTCCATCCTGGAAGTCCTCTGGGACAGTGTTGGGGGAGACGGTCTCTGCTGTCCCTGCCAGGCGGCTAGAGCAGCCGGGTCCCAGGTGTCTCTCGGTGGAAAGCAAGGGTTCGGAGAAATCGTCTGGGCAGGTTGGCCTGATGGGGCCTCTGCTTCTCCCATCGTTGGGTGGGCGGGGTCCTGCCTCCTGGCCGCGCAGAGCAGGCGTGCTGGTATCTCCACTGGCCGGGAGAGAAGGGGCTTGCGGGAGGGGACCCTCACCTGTGCAAAGGCCAGGCCCTTCCATCAGTGGTGGGGGGTGGTGGGGGGAAGAATGGGGCTTTTCGCGTTTTTGTGATTATTTCTGAAGCAGGCGCTGGTGGCAGGATGTTTGCTTTGTGGTTTGAGTTTCTGCCTGGGCGGGGGGTGGGGGTCGCTGGAGAGAGGAGGGAGGGGATGAGGGCTGGATGTGGGAGTGGGCGGGGCCAGTGCAGCCCCCCCCCCCCCGCCCCCCGCCACCGACCAGACCCAGGGGCAGCTGGAAGCAATTTTCGGTCACGTGGGGCTGGGCCTAGCCGAGCCGCTGGCCTATGAGACAAGGCCCCATGTCTGTGTCCAGGAAGCAGCCCCGCGGCCACATGTTCAAGGCCAGCTGTTGTGCTGGTCTTTGTTTATTTAAAGATGCTAGAGCTGGGGACAGTCTTTCTGAAGAGGGGGCAGAGGCAGATGCCTTCCGGGTGCTGCTGGGAGGAGGCCCCATGGCTGTCCTCCATGCCCCTGGGTCGCTTGCCTTTCCCTGGCCTGGGAGTGGGGTGGGCAGCAGGGACCCGTGGGCTCTGTTACTGCTCGGTCCCCGATTCCATGAAGGGGGAGTCACGGTGCTTTGTCAGGCTGAGAAAACGGGGAAGTCGAGTGATGTTGTACAGAGAAACCACCCACGCTCTGATTTCTGGAATTTGTCAGCCGATCATCCTGGCTGCAGAAGGAGAGGGTCCTGGCCCCCCGTGGTCAGCTCCCTCTGACACTTCCGCAGAGCAGAGGTGCAGCCACCTAGGTGCGAGCCGGTTGGGCCCACTGGGGTTTGGCACTGGGGTTTGGTTGCCGGGGAGAGTCTGGTCGCTTCCCCAGGAAGTGGAAACCCCCGTGTCCTGTGTCCTGTGCACGAACCCCGCCCACCCCCCACCCCGCCCCAGCGCACACTTGGGAGCAGGGTTCCGAGGCTGATGCCCAGGGAACCAGCCAGCCCCTCCCTGGGGGGGCCCGGGGAGATGTTAGGATGCACCGTGTGCTTCTTCCCATGAGCGTTCCTGGGAGACGGGAGGGAGCTGACCGTCCTCAGTGGTCAGGGGCTGGGAAGGCCGCCAGGGAGAGGTGTGGGCAGGCGCCTGTGGTGTGTCTAGGGGTACTCCAGGTCATGGCCAATGTGCTTCTGGCAGACCCTGGGAGGGACCCACGCTGTTCTGAGCACCCTGACCAGCTCCACTGGGGGAGTGGCCCTCAGGTCCTCACTGGGTGCCTCTGGCCACTCCTCCAGGCCTCTGACCTGGGTGTGCAGACTCCTCAGGGCAGGAAGGGAGGGAGGTTCTGATCTGCAAACTGCAGAGGCTTGAGTTATTTCTAGAAGCTCAGTCCCGCCTGCCTGTTCGCAGACCTGGAAGCAAAAGCTGGGGGTGTGGGGCACACAGGTGCCGGGCAGAGAGAAGGACCCCCCCCCCCCGGGTGGGGGCGGGGAGCTGCCCCAGAGCCCCATCTCCCTGCTGGTGCCTGGGAACTGCGGAGCCCAGGAGGGGCATACTCTGTCCCGGTCTATTAATGGGGACCTAGGACTGAAAACACCTCACTCGGGAGCTGCAGGATGATACCCGGGTCCTCTCCTTCGTCCTGGCTCACGGGCTGGCCCCACCGCTCAGCTGTTTGGCCTTGAGGGTCCTGAGGCCTGTGGGCTGGAGTGGGTGTGGGAACCTGTTTGAGCCTGTGATGGAGGTGGAGACGGCCCACCCGGGTGCCCTGGGGCAGGATGGAGGCCCGGAAGAGGAGGGCTGGGGTCACCTCTGCCTTGGAGCTAAGGGAAGGAACCTACTAATAGGCAGCTGCTGGGGAGGGTGGGGCTCTGCGGGTGCTGTGGTGGAGGGCCTTTAGGTCTGGGGTCTTCTGCAGGGGTCTCCTGGGCAACTGAGCCTCATTTTCCCTGCTTGAGAAATGGGGGTGTGGTCGGTGCTTTGCAGATGCCTGTGTTAAACCCCCTGACACCCCCCATTCTCCCCACAGCCCCCGAGGCAGCTCCTGGCTGCGTTGGCGACATGGCTGACACCCCCAGAGACGCCGGGCTGAAGCAGGCGCCCGCGCCCCGCAATGAGAAGGCCCCCGCGGACTTCGGCTACGTGGGGATCGACTCCATCCTGGAGCAGATGCGCAGGAAGGCAATGAAGCAGGGCTTCGAGTTCAACATCATGGTGGTCGGTGAGTGCGCGCCCAACGCTGGGACCCCACACCGCTGGCTCTGGGTCTCAGTCCGCTCCTTGGAAAATGGGGGTGGGTGCACCTGGCCCGCAGGGCAGATGGCGCGTGGCACTGAGCGTGAGCCCAGGTGTGCGCCCGTGTGCCTGCCAGGAGGGCGGCAGCTCGCTGACCAGCAGCCTCACCCTCGTCCCCCGCCCGCCGGGGGCTCAGCCCTGGACTTCCAGTGACGGGGCCGGCCCCCCACGGCCAGGAGGCCTTGCTGGAGGCTTCCTGGTTGGCCCCAGGAGAGCTGGATGGGCCCCAGGGCAGGTCACTGATAAGCCTGGCCTGATCCGGGTTGGGGGCCAGACGTGGGGGCGCACTGGGCCGCCTCTTGTTCCTGAAGTCCTTGGGGCCCCATTCGGTCCTCGCAGACGCCCTGTCAAAAGGGTGTCCCACTCTGTAGGCAGCAGTGAGGCCCAGAGAGGGCCTGGCACGGCCTCTGCTCACAGGGCAGGGAGACCGGAGCTCTGCTCCCTGGGCCAGGCGTGCGTCTGTCTGGGGGGTCTGCAGACCCAGCGTGGAATCCCGGCCTCACCCCTGCTCAGTGGCAAGCGGTGCTGGTCCTCCCTTCCCCGGGGCTTACTCATCCGTAAGATGGGACCACCGGGAGGGGCAGATCCGATGCCATGTGTGGCTCCTGCTTGGCCGTGGGCGCTGGAGGAGTGGCAGTCGCCGAAGCAGCAGCGGGGGGCGGGGGGAGGGGAGGACGATAATCCCAGACGGTTTGGCGTCTCCCAGGTGCCAGGCACGGTGGCCGGGCTCTCTGACGTAGCTCCGGCCTGACCTGGCAGGGACGCAGACAGGTGGGCTGAGGGGGACGTGGACAGCTGGGCCCAGGGGTTCCCGACGTCCACCTACGGCGTCCTGGGAGCTCACGCTTTGTCTTGACAGGTTATCAAAGTCGGAAAATCGGTACAATTTAATTTTAGAAAATACGTGGGCTAGCGTGGCGTAGAGCAGCTCAGGGAAGGGGTGAGGTGCTGGGGCTCCACGTGTGGGGTCATGCCTGTGAGGTGCTCCCGGTGTGGACCCTGGATAAGGCTGCGGGGTTCCCATCCCCGCACTGGGCTCTGTGCCTGTTTCCTCATCTGTCAGGCAGGATGGCGATGGCCCCCAGGCAGGCGAGGGCATTACACAGCCTCACTGAGGACAGCGGCTGGCACATACGGGGGGAGCACTGTGAGCAGAGCCTGGGGTCTGCGGCAGCCCCCCTCCCCCTACCATGCCCTCTGCCTTCTGCCCTCTGCTGTAGGCGGGCTTCAGGTGATGTGAGGATTGGAAACAGCGAGGCCGGGAGTGTTTCTGGGGCCCAGGGGTCTGGGGGCCCCATAGGGGGCGGCCTGAAGCCCCGGGGGCTCCCTCGACTGTCAGGGTCTGTGGACATGGGCACTGGCCAGTGGCTGTTCCTGTTCCTGGCGGCGAGACCCAGCTGTCCCCCATCTGGCTGTCCCCCCACCCCGTCCTGCCCCAGCAGGAACTGCCCCAGTGGCTTCACACTGAGCCCCGTGGTCGCTCAGCTACAGGCTTTGAATGCTGAGCGTGCTGGCGCTTCCAACCTAGATGACCCCGGAAGCCGGGCAGAACCCTGCAGTGCGGCAGCCTAGCACAGTTGGACTGTGGCAGGTTTGCAGAGCCTCCCTCCTGTGGTCCTGGGGCTCTGTGGAGCTTTTCCTTCAAACCTCATGACCTCGGTGTGTCCGCTGTGAAGAGGAGAGCTGCATCAAGGGGCCCAGCTCCCCCACTTGGCCTCCCTGGTGCTGCTCTGCTTCTCAGCTGCTCTGCCTCTCAGCTCCTCTGGGTCCTGCCCCACGACAAGGCACCACGAGAGCTGGGCCACTGCCTGGGCATCCCAGCCCTTCCTGCCTCTCGCCCTCCCCTGACCTGGGGCCCCTACTGAGCGGGGGCTGAGGGACAGCGCCCAGGTACTACCGAACCACCGGGCCCAATGACCGGCTCCCATCCTCTCCCCAGGGCAGAGCGGCTTGGGGAAGTCCACCTTGATCAATACCCTTTTCAAGTCCAAAATTAGCCGGAAGTCGGTGCAGCCCACCTCGGAGGAACGTATCCCTAAGACCATTGAGATCAAGTCCATCACGCACGGTGAGAGCCGGGGTGGGGCTGGGCGTGTCGACACGGGGTGTGGGGTGCTGCTGAGTCCTGAGTGGCCAGGTTGAAAGTCCGGGTCAGGGATGCTCTCCGGGAGCCCTGTAGGCCCTGGTTGGAGGGAGCCCCCTGGGGACAACTGAGTTTTACAGCAAAACCCATGGGTAGGAGCTGCCCAAGTCAGCGGTCACCAGGCCCTGCCAGAGGTGGTCCTCCCTGTGCATCACCTGGGGGATCGTCGCTGGTCCCCGTGGGGCACCCCAAACGGGCCTTGGGGGGGCTGGGCTGGTCAGGTTCCTCCCAGGCAGGACCCAGCCTGCCCCAGGTTGTCTGTGGGGGTCCGGGGTCTCCCCCTGAGCTCAGTGGGCTCTGTGGTTCCGCAGATATCGAGGAGAAGGGCGTCCGCATGAAGCTCACAGTCATCGACACGCCGGGCTTTGGGGACCACATCAACAATGAGAACTGGTGAGGACCTGGGGCTGCCGCTCCTGGAGGAGCGCCCTGACGGCCACCGGGGCCTGTCTCGTGGCCTGCTTCGCTGCTGAACCCTCAGAGGCCCCCAGATCCTGGGCCAGTGCGCAGTTTCCCTGAGACTCGTGACCCCCGCACCTGTTGGGGTCAGGGTCAGCACGGGAGGCTGGCTGGGGAGCTCTTGGGGAGGCTGCGGTCTCTGCTCAGACAGCCCCGCGGCCCGGGCCCTCGCACCGGCAGGCCGAGGACGGGTGTGGGACGTGGGGGAGAGTGGGCAGGAGCGGTGCCCCGGGGCGGGCTGACGGGTCCTGTGCTGGCAGCTGGCAGCCGATCATGAAGTTCATCAACGACCAGTATGAGAAGTACCTGCAGGAGGAGGTCAACATCAACCGGAAGAAGCGCATCCCGGACACGCGCGTGCACTGCTGCCTCTACTTCATCCCCGCCACCGGCCACTCGTGAGTCCCCTGCGGCCCCGGCCAGTGTGGCCGGGGGGGTCTTGGCCGTCCCAGTGCGGAGCCCGGGCCGTGTCCGTGACTGCCCGTCGCCGTGCAGGAAGAGCGGATGCAGTTCTGCTCCCGGTGGAGGACGGTGGCCGCCACTCGGGGTCCCTGCGGTGCTGTCCCCATGCCCTCCCAGAACTGGCTTCCGGTTGGAGGCGGTGGCACACTGGAGCCAGTGGGCGAGGCTCTGGGGGCACCCTGGGCAGTAGCCTGTCCCAGAGGCTTGGCTGGGTGGGCCCAGAGCTGCTGGGGGCTTCCTTCCCCTCCTCCTTCCTCTCGCCTCCAAGGGGACCCCTCACCCAGGACGGGGCTCAGAGCCGGCCTCGCACCATGTGCTTCTGTCTGGCAAATGCCCTTTTTCTCTTTCCTGTCCCTGTGTCCCTTTTTTCTGGCGAATGTCCCTTCCTCTTTCCTGTCCCTTGCTCAGGGCTTGGTTGGCCATGGCCTTGCTGGTGTGTCCACACCTGGGAGCCCCCTCAGGGTGCCCTTTCTCAGCTGGAGGCGGGCAGCTCGTTCTGTCGCCATCCGTCCGTCCGTCCCCCTCGGCCCGTCACTCATCTGCACCATTCTGCTTCAGCCTCAGGCCCCTGGACATTGAGTTCATGAAGCGCCTCAGCAAAGTCGTCAACATCGTCCCTGTCATCGCTAAGGCCGACACGCTGACCCTGGAGGAGAGGGTCTACTTCAAACAGCGGGTAGGGCTCTCCACCTCCATCCGGCTGTCGGACGCAACACGCCAGGCCTTCCCCGGGGGAGAGCAAGCCCAGAGCGGGTGGGGATAGGTGGCCGTGTCCTCCTCGCTGCCTCGGTCCTGCTTCAGGCCACCGTCTCCGCAGGAGGGCGCGCTCAGGCCTGCGGCTTCCTGACAGGCGGCACGTCAGAGCCACCTGGGGAGCCAGGAGAACGAGGCCCCTTGGTCTCATCCCCAAAGCGCTGGACATGCTCATCGGTGGCCCCGGATGCGGGGATTTTCCCAGCAGACTGAGGGGAGGACTGTGCCTTCACCATGGACACATCTGCCGGAGGGAGCAGGCCGCTGTGGGTCTGTGCTCGGGGCAGAAATGACGCTGTGCGCGGCGTATCCGCGTGTGGGGGAGCCAGGGCAACAAATGGTGGTGACGGTCTGACACAGGCAGGTGCACGCAGGGCTGCAGGGGTCCCGGGCAGCATCCAGGCCCCACCGTGACAGAGGGTTTCCAGGTGGAGCTTGAGGGACAACTCGCCATCCCAGAGCTGCTGTCTCCGGGGCGTGCTGGCCTACAGAGGGAGGATGGGGAGACGTGCGGGACTCAGGTGGCTGCACGTGTCTCCCGGCAGGCCTGCAGCTCTCCCTCCTCCACTCGGGAGGCTTGAGAACTGGAGTATCACGGTCACCAGCCCCGTAGAGCCTGCCCTTGACCCCAGGCTGGGCCCCCTCACTTTCTGGAGGTCACAGTGCGGGCCGATCCCGGTGGGTCAGTCCAGCCTGCTGTGTGGACGGCACCCACATCTCTCCCCTCCGGATCCCCAGATCACCGCGGACCTGCTGTCCAACGGCATCGACGTGTACCCCCAGAAGGAGTTTGACGAGGACCCGGAGGACCGGCTGGTGAATGAGAAGTTCCGAGTGAGTGCACTGGCCGTTCCCGGAGGCTCCTCAATTCCTGCTAGAGGCCACGGCAGGGTCTTCCAGACTGCTCCAGTGGGACTGGGGAAGCGGGTGGGATGGCCCGAGCCATGGGAACGTGTTCTCTGGGCCGGAAGGAGTCAGAGCCCAAGTGTTCACATGGGGCTCTCTAGGGCCAAGGGTCTCCGTTCTGGGGGGCCCCGGGCTCAGGGCAACTCCTCCCTGGTGCCTAGGAAGCGCACTGGCCTTCGCACACACGTGACCCGTGCTGCCTGTCCTTCCCCCAGGAGATGATCCCGTTCGCCGTGGTGGGCAGTGACCACGAGTACCAAGTGAACGGGAAGAGGATCCTTGGCAGGAAAACCAAATGGGGCACCATCGAAGGTAATAGTCAAGCTGCTGGGGTCTCCAGACCAGAAAACTGAAGCCGCTCTGCCAGCCTGGAGCTTGGGCACCCAAGCCCCAGCCGGGCGCTCCTGGGGCCTCATCTGCGGCATCACCGCACTCAGCCACTCAGTGGCTTGTCTGGGGTGCATAGCTGTTAGCTGATGGAGCTGTGCCTTCACCCCGATCTCCCAGGGGACAGGGAAGTATCCAGAGTGGAAAGGAAGGAGCCCTGAGGGGTCCTGCCAAGTTCTGGGTTTTGGTGTTTCATAGCGGTGCTGTGTGACCCTGGGCAAGGTGCTCTACCTCTCTGGGCCTAGGACAGGGCTGGGAATAGCGCTATCCAGCTGTGAGAACAGACGGCGCGCCCCCTGCTGAGGTTCCCGGGACCCCACATCTTGGTGTCCTGCGGCTACTGTAATAGATGGGCTGAGACTGGGTGGCTTGAAACAGAAATGTCTTCGGCTGGTTCCTTTCAGAGGCCCTAAGGGAGAACGTGTTCCAGGCCCCTGCCCTGGTGGCTGTCAGTCATCCTCCGCGTCCCTTGGGCCGACCACAGTCCCCGCTCAGCCTTCGGACTGTGTCTCTGTTCCTCAGGAGGCCATCTGCCTGTCATTTTGGCTTAGCTTCCCTTGGAATCCACGTGATCCCCTCTTAGGGTCTTCACCTTAATTACATCTTCAAAAAAAAACTCTCCAAATAGCCCCCATTCACAGGTGCCAAGGGTGTCGGCTGTTGGACATGGTTTGGGGGCCACAGTTGAACCCCCTTTGGGTGGTGGCGCCCGGGGCACTGCTTCACTCTCCGCTCTGTCCGTCTCCCTCTTTAGAACAGAGAAGGCAGAGTGGACAGGTTCGAAGGCCCACGTTGTCTTTGCTCCCGTGGCTGAGGGCCCGGCGTGGACAGGTCTGGAAGGCACTCACCAGCCGCCCTGCCCCCCTACCCCCACCCCCGTGACACCGGGCGAGTCCCTCGATCCCCCAGGCCTCAGTCTTCATCTTCACCATCCTTAAGATGGGTGCTGTGTGTCAGGACCTTAGCAAAATGACAGACTCAGAATTATGAAACTTTTGGGGCAGCAAACACCCTTAAGAAAGGGATCATCGCGATACGGGACAGTCGAGCTCCCTCCCCCTCCTTCCCTCCTTCTGTGCCTGCTCATTTTACATACATTACCCCACTGGGTGCCTAACTCCCCCACCCGCCCCCACCCCTGCAGTTGACCCTGCGCCCTCCTGCAGAGGGGACCAGGCTGTAGCACCGAAGGGTTCACCCCTGCCCTGCCGAAGCCTGGGGGAGGCGTGGAGCGGCCGCGGGGCGCCCACGTAGGTGCCCGCGGGCGGTGCCGCGGGGTGTTTTCCAGCATCTCCTGGATCTGCGCTTCCGCAGCCGTCCCCTCCTCCAGGGGTGTCTCTGCGGCCGCTCAGCTCCTGTCCACGTGGGCTGTCTCTCCGTCAGGCTTACCTGGGCGCATCCTGCCTCGGCTTTACCCCGTGCTCTTCAGGAACTGTTGGCGCAGGCGCCCGTTCTGGAGGGTGGAGAAGTGTGGGATCATAAGGGCCCATGGGGACTTGGGGACACAGGACTGGGTTGGGGGCTGCCCAGGGCTGGACAATCCTCTGCTGCCCCCTGGTGGCCAACTCCGGCCTGCAGGCTCACCGTGGGGTTGTGAGAAACGGCCCTGTGGCCCCCATGGGGACGGTTGCAAGGTGGCGGGTCTCCTGCAGCCTTCGTGAGCACCCCGGAGATTTCTGCCCCCCGTCCGCGCAGCTGGACCCCGCACTGAGCTGGCGGCTCTTCCTCTCCCGGGCCTTGCCCGCTCGTAACTGACCCGAGGACGGGCTGCTCTGTGTTCCTTCCTGGCCAGCCTGGTTAACGCGCGCTCTGTCCTCCTCCTCGCCCCCCAGTCCCTGGTCCTGTTTCTTTGATCCTGGTTTCGCTGTCCTGAGACGGTGCACCCATCCTCGGAAACTGCCTGGCGCTTTCAGGAGGAGGGTGGGGTGTGAGAGAGCACGTGGCTAGCTCATCTGAGGTGGCTGGCGTTTGAGTCCCACCTTACAGAGGAGGAAACTGAGGGTCAGAGAGGCCAGGAGAAGCAGCAGCCACACGCGCACACTCCCAGCCGTGGGGCTCCCATCTTCCCGCCAGCTCTCTCCACTTCACGTTCGTAGCAATGCCGCGTGTGAGTCTGTCGGCAGAAGGTTCTAGTGTGGGCCCAGCCTGTGCCGGTGGGGATGTGGGAGGAGGGCCAGGGTGTGGCGGGCAAGCAGCCACTGGAAGAAAATCGCAGGGCTTGGCAAGGTGGAGACCCTGGGGCTTTTGGGCTTTTTCCCCCCAGCTTACTGGGGGCGATCGGGGAGACAGGCCCATTCCCTCTGCTCTGAGCCCCGATTCCCCAAGACCACAGACGGGGAGCCCTAGTGGTGTGTTGGGTGCATGAAGATTTGATGACACACACGAGTCATGCAGCAGAGCCCTCGGGGGCACAGGGACACTGCCTCTCGGGGGGACCTGGGGGCATCTGGGGGGCCCGTCCTCCCACGTCCGCAGAGCTGACCCCTGTCCTGCAGTCTGTGCTTTGGGCGTCCGTGTGTAGCCGGGCAGCGTAGGGTTCCCAAGCCTAGCGGCAGTGGTGATGAGCTTGGGAGAAGGCCCAGCAGGGCCGAGGTTCTCTAAATGACACCTTCGGTCCCTGCCTTGTTCCATTGCCACCACCCCTCGTTTTCAGGGTCCCCTGGGACATGCTGCTCTTCTCAGGAGATGCCCCTCCCCTGGCTCCCAGTGAGGAGCAGTGGCCCTAGTGGCCCTGCTGGACGGGAACCCTCTGGGGGGCGGGCGCCTGGCAGGGCCTGTCTTAGGGTGTCTGCAGAGTCAGGTGCCTGTGGGGGCCCAGTGCTCCCCTGTGGGGTGGGGACTCCCACCCCCACCAGCCCACCCACCCAGGCTTCTCTTGGCCCCTGAACTACTGGGGGGAGGGGAGAGACAGGGCGGGGGAGGGGCTTCAAGTGACCTTAAAGCTCTTTTTGTTTCCTCAGTCGAGAACACCACCCACTGTGAGTTTGCGTACCTTCGGGACCTCCTAATCAGGTGAGAGAGGGCTGTGGGGTGTTGGTCTTGGCCCCCCGAAGGCCCTGAGAGGGCCCTAAGTCAGGAGTATGGGCAGTGGGGGAGCAGCCAGAGGTGCTGGACAGTAGCTGACCCGTCCTCCCCCAGGAGGACCTCAGAAGGCCGTTGTCTGAAACAGCTCTGTGGAAATGAAGCAGGAGGTTAAAATCCTTCTTAATCTGTGTGAAGGCCCCCCGGATAGGAGGGGGCTGGGTTCTCATCACTGCAGCCTGGGGCTCCAGGGGCTCTCTCATGCCTGGCATGGAGATAGTGTCCCCTACTCCCATCCCAGTGTCTTCTGACCCCACCACTCTGACCTAGCTGAGGCTTTCCCTTAGTTTTTCTTGAGCTCAGATAAGGAGTGGCCGTCCTTAAGCCGGTAGAGAAGGTGCCATGTGGCTGGGTCTGGGCACGTAATGAGACCGTGGGGGGCGGGGGGGGGGGCACCTGCCGTGGTACCAGGAGTTCCCGGCTTCTCTGTTAGCAGGTGGGTGCATTTTAGGCATTAAGTGGAGGGACAAGGCCATCCCTGGGGTGGGGGGGCTCTAGGTTGGGGGGTGGACTGTGGCTTCTGGGAGTGACCCCACCGTGTTAGACAGCCTGACTGCCCAAGACCCCCACCAGGCCCTTCCGAGTCTCCTGTTGGGCTGCGAGAGAGGGGGAACCTGGGCACAGGACTAGCAGGGTTGACCAGCACTCCAGTTCAGGGCGTAGCCCCAGGACCTGGTGCTTCTTGGTGACGGCAAGGACATTCGAGCGCTGTCCCCTCTGAGTGTGCACCCCGCCCCTACCCTTGGACTGGCCACAGGCTTGGCTCGGAGAGAAGGGGGTGCGTGCGATAGAACATAGGTGTTCTGAGAGGGTCTGGGTCACTGGAAACTACCCCCCACACCCCCTGCCGTACCCCAGCCTGGGCCCACTTGCTGGGCCTTACAAGCCCTCCTGGGGGGCCGCCTGAAAGCCAGGCAGGAGGGATGGGGTGCAGGGGGGGCAGGCAGTGGGAGTCCCGGCTCCGGCCCCGTGGGGTCAGCACCCGTGTCCCCCCGTGTCCCCCCAGGACGCACATGCAGAACATCAAGGACATTACCAGCAGCATCCACTTCGAAGCCTACCGCGTGAAGCGCCTGCACGAGGGCAGCAACGCCATGGCCAACGGCGTCGAGGAAAAGGGGCCCGAAGCCCAGGAGATGTAGACCCGCCCTGCCCCCCGGGACCCGCCCCTCCCCAGCCCTTTCCAGCACCGCCCCCAGGCCCGCCCACGTGCCCCGTTTTATTTTATACAATTTCCTCCACTTGCCGTCATTCTCCACCCCTTCACACGCTGCCCAATAGCAAGGTCACGTGCGCCCGCCTGCGTGTGCGTCCTTAGCCGCTCAGTGCGGGGCCTGGACCCGGTCCTGGGACGGGAGGGGCAGGAGGGGGGCCTCGGGCCTGGCGCCAGGCCCCAGCCTCTGAGCAAGGCAGGCCTGTGCAGGGTGGGGTGGGGGGGCCGGCCTGGCCAGCCTGGAGCCCCTTCCTGCCTGCTCCTCCCTACACGGCCCAGGCCATAACTCAGACCCGTAACTCAGACATCCTTCCCCCTTGCCTCCCGCCCCAGGGGCAACTAGTTAATTCCATGAGATGCAAGTTGCCAATTGCTTAGACGTGGGGAGGCCCATCAATGCCCGCCCGCCCGCGAGCCCGTCCTGCAGCAGAAAGTGCCTTTATCTCAGCCGTCCACGAGCCCGCCTTCTCTCCCCCGCTGTCCCCGCAACCAGCACTGGGGACATATCGGAGAGAGGGAGGTGTGTCTTCATCTCTCCATCGCCCTCCCATCCCCCAGGATTCGATTGAGCGTGCAAGGGAAGGGAAAAGATGCCCCCCACTCTAGCCCCGCCCCGTGGTTTGGGGGAAGGTCCCAGCAGGTGAAATCCGGTGGAGGAGCTGAGGGAAGAGGAGGTGACCATGTGGGAAGGAGGGGACTGTGTGGGCTGGGGCTGGGCCGTTCAGAGTGGCCCAGGTAACCCCCGCGTCTGCCTGTACCGCCCCGCGTGACTGCGAGAGTGTGTCTGTCTGCCTGTCTGGATATCTCTGGCCTAAGATGCTCCACCTCGGGTACACCCATTCAGCCCTCCTGGGCCAGGTTTGGCTGATACCTTGACCCCGGGAGCTTTTGTCACCCTAAATATGCCTGGGTTCCCGCACCCCAGAGCCCATCGTAAATACCTCCCGCCCCAAAGAGGGAGAGGTCAGGAGGCAGATGTGCGTGGGCCCTCATCGGGGTGCAGCCCGGGCTGGCTTCTAGCAAGGGGAGGGGAGGGGACGCAGACAGGCCTGTGCCGGGGGGGGGGGGGGGGGTGCGCGCGCACACGTGTGTGCGTGCGTGTGTATGATGTCCTTGCATTGTGTGTTCCCTCCCCACCTAAGACAGGAAGGACCCCTTAGCGAAACCGTTTACTTGCCGACTTGCCACGTTTTTGCCAAAACCAAGACTGCGAAGGAAGCCTCCACCTTTGGCGGCGGGGCGAGGGCGCGGGGGGGCAGCCTCGGGCGGGCCGGACTCGCTTTCCTTCTCTGTAGCCAGATCTCGGCAAATGGTGTTTCACCGGCGCCTGTTCCCGCGGTGGCCTTTTGCTATGTGCCTCCTGAGAAATTCGTCTTTTTGTATAAATAACAGTGTTGAGACTGTATTTCCTGAAATAAATGTCCAAACGCAAACCTGCCGGGGGGCACGTGCTCCTCTTCCTGATCCCAGAGGCGCGGTTCCCGCGGGCCAAAGCCGGCCTGGCGGTGCGTGCTGGGGGCTGTTCAGCCTCGTGACGGGGAAGCTGGGGTCGGGGAGGTCAGAAGCCCACGGGTACCTGGAAAGCCAAGGGCAAAGCTTTCCTAATGGATAAGGAGGCTGGGAAGGGTTTCCCACCACGAGGCGCCGAAAACCGCTTCTGTTCCTGTACTGTTGGAAATAAAGTTTCTCTAGTTCAGTTTCGTCCTATCAGATCGAACCGTAGGAACTGGTCAGAATTTGACAGTCATTCCCTACCAGTGACTTGTTCCTGGAGAATGTGGCCCTGAGGAGAGGGAGAGGTTCTGGAGGCTGCCATGGGCGCTTCTCTCTGCACGACACCCCTCCCCCTTGCCCCGGGGTGTTGGAGGCCGGAGCCCTTTTCTGGGCATAACGTGTCACCATGAGCCGGGCTGTCTCAAACGACGGAAATCCATTCTGTCCTGGTTCCAGAGGCTGGATGTCCACGATGGAGTGTCGGCAGGCTGTCCTTTCCCCGGCCTGCGCCATGCCTGCTTTCCTCTTTGCAGACGAGAAACAGATCTCGCGGAAGACACCTCTGTTGAATTTGGGGCCCCTCTTCAGGATGGGTTCGTCTCCTCCTCAGTTCCATCTGCAAAGACCCTGTCTCCAAATAAGGCCGAGTTCTGAGGTTCTGTCTGAGGACATGAATTCGGGGGGTGGGGCAAGTGCTCTTCAACCCAGGGCATCCAGTACCCCCTCTGTCACTGGGCCCCGGGGATAAGGTGGCTGCAGAGGGCCCCGCAGCAGGGCTCGGATGTGTGTTCAAGGTTGGCTTGTTCTGCAGAAGGTCAGTGGGTTTCATGTGCAAATGAATCAGTGGGCAGAGGCCACATGAATCACGTGCTTCTGGATTCTGGGGTATGTCCGGCACTGCCGACCCCTGCTGGGGGCACGGGAGGACAGAATCAGACCAGGGTGGGGCTGCGGGACCATCATCTCAGGGCTCTTCCCAGCTCTCTCAGCGACCGCTCTTGAACTTCTTGACCCTGAGGCTTCCCTTTTCCCTCCCTCCTCCAGACTGAAACCACCCCCATCTTCACTCCTGCTAGACACCCATGTCCGGCAGCTGCTCTCTTGGGCCTGACCCACACCAGGGCCCAGCATCCTCTCCAAGCCTTGATCTCCGTTCCGGAATCTGGCTTCCCCCACGGGCTGGCTTACTGGGCCTGGCCAGCTCCCCGTCCCTGGCGCTGCTGGTCCCTCACTCACCAGGCTGACGGGGACCAGGACACGGGCTCTGCCCAGCCCACCTGCACTTCCCTCCAAGGGCAGCCCAGGAATGCCGATGGCGATGGGGGCTCTCCCACCCAAGCAAGCAGATCCCCTGCTCTACATCTGGGTGACCAACTGTCCAGTCTACCTGGACATGTGGGGTTTCCAGGGATCTGGAACTTTCAGTGCTAAAACAGGAAGGTCCTGGGTGAGCCGGGCAAGTTGCTTATCCTGTGGAGACCCCACACCATCCTGCCCCCTCCCACCGCTCAGGGTCATGGTCTTGGACTCCTCCGCCCAAGGGGCTCTTAAGGAGTTGGGCTGTTGCCAAGACGTCCTGGGGGTGAGCAGGGGTCTCCAAGGCCAGCCAGAGCGTCAGACTGGCTCTGAGCACCTGTGGGGGTGCGATGTCCCCAGGGGGCTGTGACCAGGTGTCCTATGCTCCCGCCTTCCCTGCTCTGGGCAGCAGGGTTTGACCAAGCCAGGAGAATGATTCAGTGAAGGGGCAGTTTTTTGGGGGGAGGGGGTGCTTTTCCAGACCCTCCCTTGTGTATGTCCTTGTATCCCCGGGGGAACCATGCGGGTGGCCCCCACTAGGGGGAGAAACCAGGTGGAAATCAGCAAAGGGGTTTCTCTTCAGATCTGTATTTAGGGATGTGCCCCCCTCATTGTTAAACATAACAGACCAAATAGATGATGTGCGATGTGGGAAATGCCAGAAAAAAAACCCACAAGGAAATGAAAAGCCCACCACCCTCCCTAGTGCCCACTGGGGGGAGGGGCTGGCGTCATTGTCCTCTTGGTTCCTCTGCTTTGCCTTGTGTCCCTGATTTGGTTTCACCCTGCAGGGGTCCCCAGCTCCCGCTCACCCCTCGCAGGTGGCCGGGTCCTTCCCAGATGAGGCTGCCTTGTCCAGGCAGGAGCCCTCTGTCCCCGGCCCGCTCCTTCCCCCTTCTCCACGCTCGCCCCCACGCCTCCCCCGAGGAAGGAGAAGGGGGACAGGCCTCTAAGTAGGTCGGGCCCAGCTCAGGTGTCCCCGATGGTGGAAATTGGGACACTCGCTGAGCAGACCAGATGCATTTCCTGCCTTGGCGCCTAGAACACTGCAGGTGTGTGCATGGCCCCAACCACAGGCAGGAGGGGCCCGGGGAAGCAGAGGCAGCTGTGTCAGGGACGTGGGCCTAACGCCAGCACATGGGGCTGTCACCGTGAGGATCCCAGACCTGAGAGCCTATCCTTGGAGAGCCCCAGGGAAGCCGTGGTCCCCTCCGCCCACCCAGGCGAGCTGCAGACTCCCGCCCTCCCTGCACTCCGAGGGCGCTGGCCTTTTCCCGAAAGTAAGACGTCCCGGCTTTTCTCTGATAATATTGGCCCTACCTGCTCCCTGTAGAAAGTGTGAAAAATAGACAAAGACCAGAAAACAACCACCCTAACAGCGAATACAGAAACCCCCCGTTGCCTGTCCACCAGCTAATGGATAGGAGATAAAGAAGTGCTTTTAAACATATCGGCAAAAAAATAACAATAAATAAGTAAATAAATAAATAAATGCATCGGCAAACTTCGTTGTGTTTGTCTTTCCAGAACTGAGCTCAGACAGAGCACACCCTTTTGTAACCCATGTTTTCACTATCAGGGAGGGTTTTCCTACTTCATTATGTTTTCTTGGAGAACGCGATTTTCATGGTAGGACATTAGTCCATCCCATACACCTGCCTTATTGTGGATGGCTACAGGTCACCCCCGTCCGTGGGCTGTGCCAGGAGGGCTGGAGGGGTGCGAGCCATCCCTGTCCTCCTCAGAGGTGAAAGAGGTGCCTGGTGGCAGGGAGCTGCTGGAGACGGTTCTGAAGCCCACGCTGTCAGGGTCTGTGTAGACCCAGAGCCAGGAGGGGCCCCGGGATCGTGTGGACCCGTCCTTCCCCCTCCTGCTTGTTCCCCTCGAGGCTCTCATTATTGCCATTTGGCACGTGGGAGGGCAGAGCGTCCCCGTGAAGTGCACACCAACCATCAGGGTCTCCTGGAGTTCAGGGCTCACGCACAGAGCACAGCTTTGACCCTGTTACCGAAATGCTAATTTCTGAGCTCCTTTTCCACGTAGATTCAAGTAGGCAGCTGGGCGTCTCCCAACTGGGTCCGCCAGGGAGACGCCGGCATGTCACCTTTCGCCGATCATATATTGAGGACACCCCAGAGGCCAGAGGGGGTGGGCTGGGGAGGGAGGGTAGGGGGCAATGGCCCCTGGGCCCTGCCCTGGGTCCCTCATGGTCTGAGATGACCCTGATCAGTCCCTCAGCTTTGGGAGGGACAGGAAGGCCCAAACAGCCTTGTGATCATTGGTCACCGTGGTTTACGTGCCGAGGGAGAAGTTCCAGGCCTGAAAGGTTGGATAATGGGGGACCCGGCCCGTGATGGGGTAGGCATCAGAAGGGGCCTCCTTCCTCAGGGGGGAGCATGGAGTTGGGGGGGATCAGGAGGCTGGGAAGCTGGAAGTGGCAGAGGGCAGGGGTAGGGTGGGGGGCTGATTCTGCCCCAAGCCAAGTCCCTCCCTGCTCCCCTGCAAGGCTGGCCTCACCACCCTCCTTTCTCCCATCTGGGTGAGCCCCAGCCACTCTCCCGCTGCACCCCTGCCTGGCGCCCCACCCCCCAGGGCAGCAGGGCTCCTCCAGGGATAGCTGATCCCCAAAGTCCCCCACGCAGGGGTCCCTGGCCAGCCCTCCGCGGTTCTGTGGAGAGCCCTGGGCAGCCGCTCAGCTGCCGTTTCCCGGCCGAGTGGCGGATCCCGACAGAAGAGTGCCGCTGAATGGATGCCCGGAGCCCAGGGAGAAAGCATCTTCCTTCCCGTCAGCGAGGACGGCTGTAAATAATGAGAATAAAGAGGGAGTATGAATAATTAAAGCTGCCCAGAGTGAGTGGGTCTTGAACCGTCTGCCTGATTTAAAAACTAATTACTTGGAGAGTGTCACGGGCAGGGAACGGCTGCCCGTTTTCCACAATGCCCTCCTCCCCTCCTCCCTTCTCCTCTTCCTCCCTTTTCCCTCCTCCCTCTCCTCCCCCTTCTCCTCCTTCTGTCTCATCTTCCCCCTCCTTCCTCCTCTCCCAGCTCTCTCCTCTCCTCTTCCTCCTCCCTTTCCTTCCCCCTTCCACCTCTCTCTCCTCCCTCTATGTCTCTCCCCTCCTCTCCACTCTGTTCCCCCTCCTCGCTCCTCTCTCCTCCCTCCTCCCCCCTCCAGAGGTGCGGGGGTTGGGGGGGGACAACAGCATCAGGCTGATCAGCCAGTCCTGGCACAGGGAAACCGCCATGGCCCCTCCATCTCCCTGAGTAATGACTTCAG